CAGGAATGAATGAGTAAAGGTTTCAAGAATGAAATAGTTGCAGAAAACCCACTTACTTTTGTACATAAGTCCATGCAGCAGCCCTCCGGGTACAAGTACTTATGTATCTCCTTTTGTTGAGTTCTCTATTTTTTTATGAATATGCATATTGGGGAAAAAACTTCCATCTGCTCTCTTTTAGCTGATTATATCACATTTTGGAGCTGTGCATCATTATGGAGCTTCAGAGAAAGATGATCATTTACATTACATATGGGTATAAAGTAGAGAAGGAGTTGATGAATTGCAAACAAGTATAATTTATATGGACAAAGTGTGCCAGAAGTGCTTTTCACCCCATTTTACTCTGCAAATGGAATGATTCCTGCCCATTCACTTGGCGTGGTGCCCAAAAACTCGGCGAGGAAAATGCTCCCGTTAGCCTTCAGCATCAGGATTCCACTCCTTCTCGTGCAGGAACAGTGCTCTGCACTTCAGGCCCACCAGGGACTCCAGAAGGTCAAAGGAGATCTCTGAACACACTAATGCCATTTTAAAGATTTTCCCATCATGGCTTCTTAATTTATAATATACATCACGCAGACACACTAATACTCAGACTGTTGGTAATTCAAATGTGAGAAGTTTGCATGATGAAGAAAGAAAGGGAGAGTAATGAAAAGCTTGTATTTTCCTCTGCACTGTGATTTTCCCATGGCAGATCATTTGCCTAAATGCCCATAAACTTCGTAAATATGTAAAAATCTACATTTAGGGTGTCTTTCTAAGGGCTTCTATCTGGGCTAGAGCAGGGTCGGCTGTGACTCCATATTATAAAGACCAGGGAGGGCCCAAGGTGCTGTATTAGGAGTAATGACCTCAGATCTTTATTTTATTTCATTCATTAATACAGGCATTTATTTATATATTCAATCATCCAGTCTTCAAAAATGATCATTCCTATTATGTGCCAAGAGTGAGGAAGCAAAACTAAATGCAACATAGCCTCTTTCTAAACTGTCAGAACTTAACAAAGGAATATTCTGTCGTGACAAAATGGTCATTTATCGGGAAGTTCCATTAAATCAGCTGATTCTCACTGCTGCTGGACAACACAGTTGTCCTAGCCCTCAGACTATCTGTGTCTGAAGAATTTCAAATCACCACAAGCCCATGCCTGTATTATGGTAGCATGTACACTGCTTTCATTTTGTGTTCAGATACCAGTTTTTATGCACACTGCATGCACTGTGCTGAGTGTTTTGCATACGTTATCTCATTTAACCAGCACAGATATATGAAATGTTAGTATTATAGTTATATATATTTCATAGAGGAAAAAAAAAACCACAAACAAACCTAAGCTCAGAGGATAAGTGACTTACCCAAAGTCACATAGTCCTCAAACCTGGGTCAACACTGGGTGTGATCAGATGAATTCAACAGTAGGACATGGGATAGGCTAAAGTAAGGGTTACTTCTATCTTATTTCTGTAGCCAGAAAACCTGGTCAAATTTAGAAACTGCTGTTCTTTTACCTATATTTAGTTCCTATTCATTTTTCTCTCAACCTTTACATAATTCTAGCATGACTTCCCACTTTATGAAGGAGTACTTGAAGTGTGCATCCGGATTAGTTATACAGTTTTCTTTGTTCGTGTGGGGGGATGGAAGCGTGTGTGTGTGTGTGGTGTGACAGAGTATCTAAAATTTCTTCATATTATTTTTCTCAGAACTTGGGCTTGTAACGGAAGTTTCTCAACATGAAATGTCATCATGTCATCAATTTGGCCTCACTCAGGAAGTTGCAAGGCGCTTGACTAACCTCAATGAATTGGATGTTGTCTAAAACCTGATAATCTTTAGCTGACTATCATTTTAGAAGTTTTAAGAGTTAATTTATTTCTTAACTATCTTGGAAATTTAAGTGGTAAAAAAAGAAAAGCTTCTGATAAAAAATTTCAGAGTGAAAATATATTGGAACTTATATCAGCAATAGAATTGAGGGGGCAGAATTTAAATGTTCTTATCAAAAAAGTATTATGAAGAGTTTATCCATTTATCTGGACTAAAATTTCTCTAACCATGCATACTTTCACCGCACACTTGAATTTGTAAATATAAGATATTCCTAGGATCAGAACAATCATGGCATTCCAGAACAGTTTTATAACCTTTCTGTACTGAAAGACTCAGTTTATTCCAGTGAGAGGCTATGGCAAGATTCTAATGCAGATTATATGATCCAAAGGGCCTTTATTGGCATAGTCTTGGGCAGCATATACATTCCATGTCTCAAAATTGTTGAGTGAATAAATAAATGATTGAGACTGGGACTCTCACCACATTTCGACCTGGAAACACAAAGCCATCTGGTAACCATTAAAATACCAACTTTCTAACCACCTTCACATCCACTCTTGAAAGGCTCAGACTCATGTCTGTTTCCTAGCCAAAAGCAGCAGAAGGTCTGTCTTTACCTTACAACCTTGGGTGAACTATGTCTTGCCTTTTTACTTCTCTTTATCCAGCGTCCATGGTTGAGAGAAAAACCCAAGGAAAAGGAGCAGCAGGGATCCAACAGATGAAATAAGGGCAGCAGGGCTCTGTTAGTGTGATACATACTTTTGCTACAGGTATCCTTTTCAGTGCTGTGCTATGTGATGGGGCCATCCTTCTGGCAGCTTGAACCCCGTAGTGTCTCCACTCCTCCCTCCTCCTCTCTTTGTAGGAAACCAGTCTTTCTTCCTCTTCTTCAGCCTCCTCAAGACCTTTGCAGCACTTCCACTCAAAAGTATATCCCCAGATCCTTGACTGGGTACCAGATCTTCATTTTGAAGGAATAGAAGTTGTGGCTGAGTAAGCTTCACCAGCGATTTCTACCACTTTACAATCAGGCAGTTCGTTACATCCTTCCTAACCTACAATTTCTTGGTATCTTCATAAAGAGGCTGTATTCTCTAGAACTGCCTGAGGCAACAGGTTGGTTAAAGTTTAAAAATTATGGTCAGTGGCTGTGCTGTGTCCAAGGAGGTCCTAGAATAATCTGTTTATTAGAGTTGTAGCCATAGTCAGGAGCAGGGCCATGATGGAGGCAGCATGTTGGAAATTTGAAATTGAAACGCTATTTCCTGCTGTGGAGAGGGAAGAATAGAGAGTAGGCATGTGATTTACTCCTGACCTGGGCACTGCATATGGGATTAAATCTCATGGATCTGGAAAAATATACTGGAAATTAACAATGTAATACTGTCTCCCAGCATTTGAAATAACACTTTGTATTTCCTGATTTTTCCTAAGGTATTGTGTTTTATTTTTAAAGAAACTTTTAGATCATTTTGGAAGGTATTTACCTATAGACTAAGGACATTGATTTAAATATAAATATGGAATGTGTTATATGAGAATAATTATTATATTCATTGCACTCCGGCAAATGTTTCCTAAATGCCCACTCTGTACCTGGTATAATACCAGGCACCAGAGATTAAAAAGGCTAAACAAAATAATAAGGAGATCATGGTCTTGTGGAAAGGTAAGCGCCTCTCAAATAGATAAAGTATAATATGGTAAGTCCTATAACCGACAGAGATACAAGTTGTTATGGAAACCCAGAGGAGAACACCAAAGGAAATCATGGAAGGCCTCACAGAGTAAGTGACTTTTGTGATGAGTCTTAAGACAGAAAGCAAAGGGAGACTCTTGGATGTGGAAAATAGCAGGAGTCACTCCAGGAAAATAAATAGCATAAGAAAAGTCACAAAGGAAGTAGTGAATTTGTGGAATTGCAAGAAGATTGTTATGGCCAGAGTGTAGAGTAAGAGGTGGGAGAGGAGGGCGCCTGGGTGGCTCAGTTGGTTAAGCGACTGCCTTCGGCTCAGGTCATGATCCTGGAGTCCCGGGATCGAGTCCCACATCGGGCTCCCTGCTCAGCGGGGAGTCTGCTTCTCCCTCTGACCCTCTTCCCTCTCGTGCTCTCTATCTCTCATTCTCTCTCTCTCTCAAATAAATAAATAAAATCTTTAAAAAAAAAAAAGAGGTGGGAAAGGAAAGATATGACTCATAGGGTAGGTGGAAAATGGTTGAGAAGAACCTTATATATCCCGGAAGAAAGTTTAAAAATTATACTAAAGATAGTGAGGGGCTATAAAAAAGGATAGAGGATAGATTAAAAGGTAGGGCACTGGTAGAATAGAGGTCAGTTGGAAAGCTATTGCACTATTTCATACGTGAGCTCATGAGCTTCCAAAGCAAGACAGCAACCATGGGAATGGATAGAAAGCCATGAATGACAAAGCGCTTCTAGAGGTAGGACTTGATTATATAGTGAATCTATATGAGAAGGGTATACGTGAGATGAAGTGAGAAATGATTTTCTGTTTTGGGTAATTGGTTGGGTATTGGTGTCATTAAAGAGAGAGTTTTGTTTGGAATAAGACAAATTTGTAGAGAAAAATCCAAGATTTGGGTATGTTGATCTGAAGCTTCTAGAGTGCTGTGGGCTGAATTGGACCCCTTTCCCCACAAATATGTATGTTGAAGCACTAACCCCCAATGTATGATATTTGTAGATGGCGTTTTGGGGAGATAATTATGTTTAAATGAGGTTGTCAGGGTGGGGCCTTCATGAATGGATCAGTGCCCTTCTAAGAAAAAACACCAGAAAGCTTGCTATCTCTGACGTGAGAGGACACAGTGAGAAGGCAGCTATCTGTGAGCCAGGAAGAACTCTCACTAGAATCCAACCATGCTGCAACCTGATCTTGAACTTTTGGCCTTCAGAATTCTCAGAAAATAATTTCTGTTGTTTAAGCCACCCAGTCTATGATATTTATTATGGCAGCCTGAGCTGACTAATACATTGAAGTATTCAGGAAGTCAGATAACACAGAGCTGGGGTTCAGGAGACAGACCGAGGTGAGATAATTCATTTGGGAATCTCACTGTTAAGAGAGATTTTGTCTAGAGGTCTAATATAAAAATACTTTCAAGTACCACGAATCTGGAAAATGGCAAGGGTGCATACTTCTTTTTATTATTAAAATTAGGGTATTTCACAATTAAAAATATTTACAATTAAAGATGAAACATCTGTACAATTATTAAAATTCATTTTACTAAATGAGAATCAACAATATCTTGTTATCTATACTTTTATACCAGATAACAGTGAAGAAATTAACAAAAAGTAATTACTAAAACTCCACTGTGGATCAGGATGAAATGTCTCCAGTATTAACTCACACTCTCCCATTAAGTATAAAAATGAGTGTGAATGCTGCTTGGACAGTTGGTTAAACAGACACATGCTCCATTACTATTTGTTGAATAACAGACACAAATGCAAAACTGGCAGGTATGAAAAAAGGAGTTTTTTTTTCCTGCAGAATTTATCATTTCACACTTAAAGCTGAATAAAGCTTATCTCACACATATCAAAGACTAACACTATAGCTTTTCTAACACAGGCAAGTGAAATATTAACAGGTAGCATTTAAAATAATAAATATACATACTATTTACAATAATTGGGAATGTTAGAGACATGAACTCTTATGTAAAATCATTTAGATTAAAACATTTTAACTTTAGGCTGTATCGGCAAATGCTTTCTTTCTCTCCTGTTTGATCTTTTAGCTCAAGTAGGGTTAAAATGGAATGCATCTATAGATATAAAGTTGAGAAAGTGTGTTCAGTCACTTGGCTCTGTGATAGTAATCTTCTGTACCATGTCAGAGAGATTTTCAGACTCCAGATCTTCTTTGCCATTATCTGAATTTTCTGATGAGATATAACAACCAGAGTCCCTTGGGCAGTCGTCTAACTGTGACTTATTTAAGGAGATGTCTGGGCTTAAGGAGAGGGGCACAGGTTCATTTTCTTGCTCTTGAATAGCTGTAAATGGAAAAGAGGAGAGCAGTTAGGAGGAGCCAAGACAAGTTTTATTCACGTACTCATTCACCTTTGAGCTATTTTAACAGTACTAACCTTGACTTCATTACATTTGAAACTTCCGTGAGTAAACAATATATTTGTTTATTATAAAAGAGATATTTGCACTCAAATATTCAAGCCCTGCTTTCCTAGAAGACAAAGTTTGCCCCCCCTTTTTTTTTTTGCTCGTTTGCAGTTTCATGGAATTCATGTGAACTGCTTGCATAAGCGAAGATCAATATGGACTTTCTTACATTAATGATAAGTTGCCAGAGAAAGCAGATTGTATCCACAGTTTGACTGATGCCTTGTCCAAATACTCCTTAAAGTAACATTAGAAAAAGTCATTTGTGGTTTAAATGTAAAATCCAACTCAATAGTGATCTTTGTGGACAGTTCTGGAATCATGATAATGTGGCATAATGAATAAAATATCACTCTGGGCAACAATGTATAGTAGGACTTCAATTACTTGGAATTTAAGTAATAAAACTTAAAGTATTCAGAATTTTCCTATGTTTGCATTCACCAGAAAAATCAACATACAAACCAGGTTGCTCTTAGATAGTAAAACACCACCATTTTCACTGAGTCTGCCTTATTTAGTCTTATACATCTTTGTAGTTCTGAAGAACAATTATTCATATTCAGATTGGTAACTGTGTTATCAAAGCAGTATTCTAGATTCAACAGACTTTTTCTTTCAAAAAAATTAATACTAGAGATGTAACAAAAGATATTTTGAAGAACCTAAGCAGCACTATGAAGTTTTACTCTTCTCAAGAAGCTTTTAGCATCAGAATTCTCTTGGTCAATGTAAAGTTTCTTTCCTTGCCTTCCCTGACACCAGTTAATGTGTGCTTCTCTGCATCATGAGATGGGTCCCTCAGGGAGGAGATTATCTTAGGCCACCACCTGTCAACTCTATCAGCATATCTAACCTCAGAGCTTCTCCGCTTTAGACATTTGAATAACTCCACTTTGGAAGAACCAAACGCATACATTTCAGGGTGGGACAAAACCTCTGCCTTCGGAGGCTATGCACTTCATCCTATTCTGGTGAGAAGAAAGTAAATCCCAACTCCAAAATCCTGCAAGAAGGAAACTGTAATGTTCCTCAACAGACTTTATAAAAGTAAAATGCTAAGTAATTTATCTTTAGGAAATCCACCCTTTATCTTGCCTACAGATACCCTGCTTTTTTAAATGCATTTTCTAGGCTTCAGATACCTTGCCAACATTATGTTCTACTGTGCATCCAACTGTTTATCAACATCCTTTACGAGAGAATTGAGCCGTGGTGCCCTAAGGCATCCTTGTATGTAATGAATTCACTTCTCAAGGTATCTAGAGTGGTACTCATTTATGTACCATCCACAGAAGAATTGAGAAAAGAGTCACATTAGTTTTTGTATTCTGTGGTTTAGACGAGGAATACAGGTGGAGAAAGGTTGGGAAAAAATGATAAAGATCGTTTTAGTCTACTCATCTTCAAAATGAATCATAACAGTTCTTTTAACCTTTTCCTCAGAGCTTTAATTTGCAACAATAAAACCATGTTTATGCCATTCTTCTGAATTTTCTCCATGTTTGCCACAACTTTTTTTAACTGTGGACTCAAGTATCAGGTATTTAAGGCCAGTGATGTTATTATAACTAATTCTAGGTATCAGGAGCTTTAATTTTAATATGCATCAAATGTGACTGTTTAAAAATTTTAGCCACCATGAAGCATTTTCTCTTTATAAGTCTTAGCAACCGTGAAGTTTAGGGTGAATCTTCTTAATATTCACTAGTATTTGTGAATGTCAGTCAGTCAGTTTTGTTTCCAAAACCGCCTTGATGAAAAGACAGCCCTGAAATGGGACCTCATTCTCTGAAGGAAAGCTTTCTCCCCTGCCTCTGCTTTTCTGTCTTCTTGCCACTGACATGAAAGAACCAGCTCTGTGTTTCATTTCCAAGTATTTCTGGAAAAGGCCAGAAAAATTAGTCCTTTTGTAATGCTTCCTGCTACTTCAGCAGTGATTCACCATATTTGGAGTGTGATCCTAGGCCATATTTCCCCAGATTATATTTGCGCCTATCACCTCAACACAAAATTAAAAGAACTTAGTTATTGCTCTTCAGACCGACATTTTAAACAGGACTTAGCATAATAAAAATTGCTCCCAATACTGTGTTCTATTTAGGCTGATTACTGATTGTGGGACTCTCTTCAAGATATAAGACTTGGGCTTAAAGAACTCTGATTTCCAAAATTAGTTCTTTTTCTTTCAAAAAATAAGTACTTAGCTTGTTATTTCGTCTTCGGAAGCCTCTATCCATTCCTCTCAAAGGGTAGCAAAGTAAACAAACAATAAATGAAAATCTGATGCTAACAGAGAATATGTCATTTTTAAATATTGGTAATAAAATGTATTGGTTTTTATTTTTGCCTGAGAAATGCTAGTCACCTTCTCTAAATTCTCAGAATTGGTTTGTTTTAAATACAGATTATTTATTATAGGAACCCTTTATCTGCAATTTTTATGGAAAAAGGAAATAGTTTCTCAGTATGAAAGTTATGCAGCACAGTAATTTACAGAATAGCAGCAATTTGCTAAATGATTTCCTAGTGAAATGAAAACATGACTTTGCCTCCTCAAATGCTTCCCACCAGGCTGGCAATAATTTCAGGCAGGTGATCAGCTGGAGCCCCTCAACTGTAACTATAAAAAGAAAAGGCAGGTCATTATGTTATATTATGGAAATGAAAGCTATATAGCATTCAGTTTTTGTGTTTGGAGGGTCAAGGTTTTCCTTTTCTTGTTTTTTTGTTTTTTTTTCCATCCTGACACTAATGACTTCGGGATTGGTACAAACCTAGGTCTTGTACTATGGATACTTTTTCCAGCAGAGGGGCTGAATTCATGATAATATGTCCATATTTTCTTTCTAAGTCATTTAGTCCCTTCGTGTGGCCATGAAACAGAGTAAAGCTAACTGATCCACCTAGAAATTGAAACTATAACCTTCATCAGTTTTGGCCCATGGTCCAATCATCTGAGCTAACCAGGCAAATAACACATTGGGGTAAGAAACAGTTTGCCTCCAAAATTACAGACTTGCCATGTAAGATATGAGTGCATCTTTTTTTATATCAAAATATTTCTGATAATATGTTAAAAAAATCAATATATATGATTAAGTATTCTATTACTAAAATTATGTGAAGACCTATAGACTTATGCATATAATTCACACGTGAAAGTGTTAAAATTTTAGATAGATTTTCTCTATATTTCTCACGTCATCTATAATGTCTTATATTTTAATTAAAAAACAAAAGAAATTAAAATGGTACAGTTTTTCAATAAAGCCCCTGCATGGTTTGCAAATATTCCAAAGGCTATACATTTTCAAATCTGGGTATATTGGAGGATTATTAAATAATTTGAAAAAGGGTGTCTCTTATTGCTGCCAGCTAACAGCAGGCATAATCAGAAGGCCAGAAAGCAACTCCAAACATTTCTGTACTCGATATCATGAAAATAAAATAATTACGTTAAGGAAAAATTATTTAGGAAATATTTTGTCATAAAGAACTAATTTGAATATTAAAATATATTATTTCTTACCAAAATTTTTATGGAATCATGTAAAGCCCATGGTTCAACATTTTAAGATAGTCATCGATAAAGATAAAAAGTGGCATGGTGATTAGATTAAAACAGAAGACAGCTAATATAATTATTCATAAAATAATTATATTGGAATTGCGACATTTAATTAATAAGTATAGGCAATCTCAATTATACTAAAAGTGAAGAAAGCTTTAAGGAATTCAAACTAAATCATAATTCTGGGAAAAAGTTCTCATATCCTAAAGAGAGAAATCTGTCCTATATTCACATAGGTTTCTTTCTCAACTTTCTTCACCCAAATATTCCAGATTTTGACTTTACTTTTAGGTCTGAAGCTTCTCTTTCTTTGGGCTTCTGTTTCTTTTGGGTACTATAAAATAATGCAATCTACAGGGCATAAGAAAATGCCTGGCCAATGAAAGTGCTCAATAAACAATTTTTTTAAATAAAAAGAATGTGATGTTTAGATTAATTAAAGGAAGTAGCAACTAAAGATCAAATAAGAAATTTCGTTGAAATTCAAATGAAGATACCTCTTGGCTCTTTGAATTATTGTCCCCTTTTTCTCTCCTAGTGCCATCTCCAAAGAGGAAAAACCAAGCTATGTCATCCTCTTTGAGGATGGCTCAAAACCTCAACTTCATGTTGGAGTCCCATTTGAGTCACTCAGAACAAAACTCGGGCATTCTCCAGGTATCTACTGCTGTGTTTATTTGTCCAGAGGCAGTGTTGTCCAAGGAGGAACATTCAGTAGACAATATGGTGAAACTCTTAGTTATTTCTGATTTCATCTTAAGCACATCCTTAAATTACCTGAACATGTTAGTTTTATAACAATGACTTTTTGGTAATCATGTCATTTGAATACTAACCTACATTTGGAAAAACAACAAATGGAAAACAGGAATCCCTTCATGGAATAACAACCAGTTACTCTTGTTTTCCTGAGGCCGTGAGAGAATAGGAGTTGAAATGATGCTCCCTCTTTTTGCACATCTCTCTTTGCATCTTAACAGCGTAGTCTACCTTCTGATGAGATGTGGGCCATGCAGTGAATCTTTGCACTCACATTCACAGCAACCTCCCCTTGCACCCTGCTGACTGCCTCAGTAAGGGCAGAGGCACCCTCACCTGAGATCTAATCGCTCAGCAGCACCCAGATGCTGAGGATCCGGATGCATCTGCCTACTGCAAACACTTCTATCTGTGAGGTGGGATTGCTAGGGACTTAAAGTTTTATAATCAGAAAAAAGTTTCCTTATGATTTACAAGTCTCTTTATTTCCTCATTCTACAAGCATTTGTTGTTTTATTGTTATTGTTTTTGTTTTTCATTCTG